GAAAAAAGATAGTCATCACGACCCTTCCACAATGAGGCTTTTGTATTTCTTTACAAATTAGAGACGAGCTGAGCATTGTTTGGTGGACTGAACAGAAGATTTTTTGCTTTCTAAGGGCCCCCAATCTTCACTTTTTATGAAACCTGCTGCAGACCTGACCTGCTAACTATTTGAGACCTTAAGATTAAGGCTCGGCGATCTTACCCCAAACGGTAATCCGCGGTTAGCGGTTTCACGTTATCCGTGTGCCCATATTTTGTGCCAATTTTTGTCTTAAACAGGATAAATGTCTTAAACAGGGTATCAAAAATCGGAATTCTGTCTTAAACAGGGTAGGAAAATCAGCGATATTTGTCTTAAATAGGGTCAGGGTATGAGGGGCCGCGCTGCACCTCCCCACCTAGGGATATATCGAGTACCCCCCCCCCCCCGGGGGGAAAAACCCTGCGGTAAATCACTTACCTCTAGAGCATGGTCTAGCCATACAAACATGAACCTCAAACGGCAAACCTGACGGCAAAGCACTAGTCACGTCACTTCTTGGCGTTTGCGGCTCACGGGAAATGCCAAAAAACCTTGATCTTAAGGTCTCTATTGAGAGAGCTACCACGTCGAAGTTCCCCTTTTTAGTTTGCCTTCTTTAAAACTACTTTAACTTCTTCATTCAGGACTTTCGGTTTTGCCCTTTGTTTCCTGGTCAATCGTCAAAACTTTCATTTCTTGATGACTATAGTACTACCCAACATTCCGGTTTTTTCCAGTTTTTTAGCAATTTCTTTAACTGATATTAAAGCCAGTAGACTGAAGTGTGCTGCTTGTGCTCTCACATGGCTAAGCGTTTTTGAACTTTATACACGTATATCTTTCATGATATTAACATAAAACATGGAAGGAGTTCGATACAAAATAAAAAAAATTGTGGCGGGAGAATATACTCGCGCACGTGCACTTTTGGCGTGAAAGTACACAAATCGAAGATTTTAGTTGAAAGATGGCACAACAAGTATGAAATATCTAATTTGCTTCTTTAGCCCAATCGTACTGCATTACAGGCTCATAAAGTTGCTCGTGTGTATACTATACAGGTTATGTGGATCACATTCTTTTGCACCCTAAACTTTATATTATTTTTGTAATCAAAAGTTCGTAGAATGCTGCAAAATACCAGTATTCATCTATTAAAGGAATTAAGCTGAAATATAGCCTGAAAAAGTGAAAGACTATGTAAACAAGGTCTAGTTAAATTGTGTTGCTCTGATGAAAGACTATGTTAACAAGATCTAGTTTAAAATGTATTGCTCTTGTCGCTTGATATCAGCTTGAATGCCTAGAATAATACTGTCCTTAGCAAACGTTCGAAGGCGAATTAATATTTGTATGTTTTAATGTCTAGGCTGGACACTAAATAGACTGTTCACAGTCCCCTATTTTCCCGTAAGATCGTCGAAATAGAGCGCTTTGCGTTACGGGCTGCCATCTGGGATGAGCGTCAAAACTACTTATTTTTGAGACTTATCAGATAACACCCTGTGATGCAAAGCACTCGATCTCAACGATCTTAGGGGACTGTGAACAGATTAGACCCTTTTTATCCGCAAAATAGAATCCATCCGCTCGGATATTGACAAGGCTGTCAACTCTCGTGCAAACATGGTCTTAGCGGGGGATCCAGAGGTTGGCCCGGAAAAAGCACAGCTTGCTTTCCATCCTCTCAGTGAGGACGAAGTCCTGAAGCTTGTTCGACATTCTGCCAATAGCCTGAGTATCAGGCGTTTCTGGGGAAAAGGGGAGAGATGGAAACGAAAAAGGGAGAGAGGTGAAGGAGAGAAACGTCTGACACAGATGCTTTTACTGGAGCCTTCCACCCCCACGCAGCATCGGGTGGTTGAAAGGAGCTGCAAGAATAAATAGGAAGGTGCGATGATGAAACACCTATGCCTAGAAATTATCAAGCAGCAGCAAATTCCACCACTTCACAGAGAGCTCGTGGAAGCTGTTACAAGTTCAAAAAGAAGTGAGAGCCTATAGCAAAAGTCAATCTCGTTGGCGAAATATGATGGCGCCCGCTTGAGCTTAAGACATTTCAAAAGTGAGAAAATTTTGGAAGAGGAAGCGAACGAATTCCAATCACGTACGCTATCGTAACCGCAACAAGCAAAGTCAAGCTTTTTAAAAGCATTTGTGCTGTCGGCTATCTCAATACATGGCTACCTCGCTCTATTTTCATTTACAGTAACAATACCCTTTTAACGGCAGGATGTTGTAAATCTGAACTTAGATATCTGAAACACTGATATTGTCTTCTTTGTCCCGGTCTTGTGAAACCATATGAGGCTTTTCCACACTCCGAGTACATCTTTCCTTTAAACTACGAGGCCTTGAAAACACAATTCTTGCTCGGGTTTTATTTTTATTCCAGAAAAGAACTTGAGAGCGCCCTCTAGAGCCTTTTTGAATTCCTCTCTGCGTCTCTGTCTGTAAAAGTATCACATACCGGTAACATGAAATCAAAACGTGTATGAAAAATTTCAATGACCGCCTCCTTGCCGATCGCTCTTGCGGTCAGTGACGTCAGGGGGTATTGTGTGTTATCCAATCACTGCCACATCCAGATTTTGGATGTGTCACACGATTTGCTGAATGGTTTTGTGTCAGGCCTTCCTTTCTCTTCTCCCCCTCCCCCCCCCCCCCTCCCCCCTCCCCCATCTAAAATCTCCTCTCCCCTAGCCCCTTAGGAAGGCCTGATACTCAGGCTATTCTGCCCAAAAATCTTGTCCACTCGATCCAGCTCCAACGCTGCTTGTGGTCTCCTGTCTCGATGTCCTACTTCCGGTCATTACGCACATAATTTTAAAACTGTTCCCTTACATCTGGGGAATTTCCTGATTGCTGGAAGGAGGCGTTGGTTTCCCCTCTGCTCAAAAAGTCTGGCGTGCTCTCAGAGTTTACTAACTTAAGACCTGTGTCTACTATGCAGTACGTTTCAAAATTAACGGAATGTGCCGTCTTCGATCAAACGCATGCGCATTTGACATCACATGGCTTATACCCTCCATTCCAGTCTGCGTACCGTAAGTGTCATAGCACTGAGACTGCACTTTTAAAAGTACAAAATGACATCCTAATGAACTTGGATTCTCAACGTGTTACCCTTCTTGTGTTACTGGATTTGAGTGTTGCGTTTGACACAGTTGACCATGAAGTGTTATTGAATCGTCTCAATACGAGCTTTGGAGTTAGGGGATCGGCATTGCAGTGGTTTACATCCCACCTTCTCAACAGATCGCAGCGCGTGTCTTTCGACCAAAATTTATCATAGAAGTTCAATTTGCAATGCGGCGTTCCTCAAGGATCATGCCTAGGTCCATTGCTGTTCACCATCTATGCGAGTAAGCTTTTTGAGGTTATTAAGAACTATCTACCGCAATCCCACGCATACGCAGACGATACTCAGCCGTATCTATCCTTCAATGCTGACTTAGCTTGTTCGCAAAATGATGCAGTTGAGGCAATGGAGCGATGCATACAGGCTATACGGTCGTGGATGATCAAGGATAAACTATGCCTGAATGATAATAAGATGGAGTTCATGATTATAGGCACCAGAAAGCAAATGGCTAAAGTGAATATTGATGGTCTTAGTGTCGGTGAGAGCATTATAGCTGCCGTAACTTCAGTTCGGAATTGACCAGAACCTGAGTATGACACCACACAATAAGATATGTCAAGCTGCGTCTTTTCATATTTACAATATAAGGCGGATCAGAAAGTACCTCAACAATGGTGTCACACAAACGCTTGTTCACTCCATTGTTATATGCCGCTTAGGTTATTGTAATAGTCCTCTTTATAAAGTTCCCGCGGTGCTCATGAGTAAGTTACAACGCATTCAAAATAGAGTGCCTGACTCGTATGCTCAACTGCGAGGTTTAATCATATTACACCCGTCTTATTTTCTTTGCATTGGCTACCTGTTGCCTACCGTATCGAGTTTAAAATCTTAGTTTTAACGTTTAAAGCAATATATCAATTTGCGCCGTCCTGTATCTGCAGTCTAGTTCGATTAAAGGAGAAATGAAAATACCAGCTTCATTCTTCTGAAGAACTACTATTGCAATTGCCCATGGGAAAAACAAAGACATATCATTTCAAATAGCTGCCCCTACACTGTGGAACAGTCTGCCTGCAAGTGTCAGAGACATACATAACTTTTTGGTTTTTAAACGAACAACAGACTTACTTATTTAGGAAGGCTTTTGCCTGTTATAGTTAGATTTATAAATTTTAGACTATAAATTTTAGGTATTCTTAAGTATACTTCATTGTAATTATTACAGGTAGTTATAGTTGTAAGGTGCATTTGATCATATTCAGATGTTAATTTGCACCTAATAATAAATATATTATTATTATTATTATTATTATTATTATTATGTGGGTTGCGGATCCAGACTTCTTGTCGAAGTGTTGTTTTTCGTTTTCTTCAGCAATGCAGTGCATGTGTACCTAAACATGCTTATAGTCCTCTCAAGTCACAATACATGCAAATTTCTACTGTTTTTCTTCTAAAGAATCCTAAAAAACGTGAGACAACTTCATTTTAAGATGTAAAAATCTAGACCGCCAAAGTTTGTTTGCATTTTACATGTGAATGAAATAATAGGATGATACGTGAAGTTCCCATTCAGCAGAAGGGGCAAACAGACTAACTAAGAAATTATTGTGGATGCTTTGCAAATGAACCCCTCAAAAGTATTGTGGCAGGGGCTGTAGCTATCGGTCCATGACACTAATTATTTAGGTTAACCCCTGAAATTTTGTTATTGCATAATTTCTTAAAGACTTCTTTTGTGATTTTGACTTCTAGGAAATACAGCCTTGAGTCCTACGCCATACACAATAGTGTGTCATTACGGGTTTTCAATAAGGACATATCCTTACCAAAGCAAAATATCGCTATTTGAAAGAACTTTTGGATATCACGGTCATGTGCTGAAGAGATGAAATATCAGTGTAAAAAGTGTGGCAAGTGTTTTAGCAGAGCAGGCAACCTAAGAAGACATGAAAAACTGCATAATGGTGAGACGCCTTATCAATGCAAACAGTGTGGCCATTGCTTTAGAGAAGCTGCTAACCTAAGGAGTCATGAGCGGATCCACACTGGAGAGAAGCCTTATGAATGCAAAAAGTGTGGCAAGTGTTTTAGACATTCAAAAAGCCTCAGGAATCATAAAAGGATCCACACTGGAGAAAAGCCTTATGAATGTAAACAGTGTGACAAGTCTTTTAGCCGAACAGAAAACTTAAAGAGTCATGAAAGGGTTCACACTGGGGAAAAGCCTTATAAATGTAAAAAGTGTGGAAAGTGTTTTGGCCGAGCAGGAGGCCTCAACAGGCATGAAAGAACGCATACCAAAGAGAAGCCTTATCAGTGCAAACAATGTGGCAAGTGTTTTAGCGTAGCAGGAAGCTTAAGATGTCATGAAAGAGTCCACACTGGCGAAAAACCTTATGAATGCAAACAGTGTGGCAAGTGTTTTAGCACAGTAGGAAACCTAAGAAGACATGAAAAATTCCATAGTGGAGAGAGGCCTTATCAATGCAAACAGTGTGGCCATTGCTTTAGAGAAGGTGCTAGCCTAAGGAGTCATGAGCGGATCCACACTGGAGAGAAGCCTTATGAATGCAAAAAGTGTGGCAAGTGTTTTAGACATTAAGGGAGCCTCAGGAATCATAAAAGGATCCACACTGGAGAAAAGCCTTATGAATGTAAACAGTGTGGCAAGTCTTTTAGCCGAAAAGAAAACTTAAAGAGTCATGAGAGGGTTCACACTTGGGAAAAGCTAGCCTGAAATTCATCCGATTGCTTCGAGTCGTTTTCTCCTCTCAACAACGTCTGAATCGACCAGCCGTTAATGCCGTCCAGTGACGTCACTCACTACCCGAAAACCGGGTAGTGATTTTCATTGGTTGATTGTCTAAACATTCGCATAATTATGTATAATTATGAAAAAATTTTAGCGGGATTGTCATTTGATATTCAGCGGATCGCATCCCTGGCATTCTGTCGGTTAGTTCAAACATTTCTATGAGCTTAATCTTTATCTTAAACAGCAAAATTGCCCTTGTCTTCGAAACTGAAATGTTAAATTGAACTGCGAATGCAGAATCATCGCGGAGAGTCGGTAGGTGAGTTTTCATTCAGAGTCGCTTTGTGGTTTCGGCGGCCGGTGATTTTGTTTACGCGAAGTTTTCTGAATTTTAATTCGACCTTCTTGCTATTTCACCGTCAAGTGTGATGATTCTGTTAGCTTTTCTTTCTTTTCTCCTTGTTTTTTTCTTCGTTAAGGACCAAATAGCTTCTTTTCAATTAAAGCAAATCATTTTGTTTTTGAACGAAGTGTTCCGTGTGTGTTTTTATCATGTTTTATTTCATTGCGTGATTGCGACCGAGTTTGATTATAGAATTTAGTACAACCAGTTCAGAGTTGTACCGCATGCAGTTGATTGTTTGAACGTTAAACATGAACTACAATCGAAAAAAATAAAGCAGTTCTGTATCTTGCAGACATTTTCAAACGATATTTCTCGGTTTGCCACTTGAAAATCGTGTTTTGCTTTTTGCATGAATTAAAGCAAAGGTCAAGGAGTAGTGACGTCACTGGAAGGCATTAACGGCCGATCGATTCAGACGTTACTGAGGGAGTAATAACGACTCGAAGTAATCGGATGAAATTCAGGCTAGGGAAAAGCTAGCCTGAAATTCATCCCATTGCTTCGAGTCGTTTTCTCCTCTCAACAACGTCTGAATCGACCGCCCGTTAATGCCGTCCAGTGACGTCACTCACTACCCGAAAACCGGGTAGTGATTCTGATTGGTTGATTGTCTAAACATTCGCATAATTATGTATAATTATGAAAAATTCTAGCGGGATCGTCGCTTGATATGCAGCGGATCGCATCCCTGGCATTCTTTCGTGTAGTTCAAACATTTCGATAAGCTTAATCGTTATCTTAAACAGCAAAATTGCCCTCGTCTGCGAAACTGAAATGCTAATTGAACTCCGAAAGAAGAATCATTGCGGAGAATCGGTAGGTTTTTTATTTGGAGCCGCTTTGTGGTTTCGGCGGCCGGTGATTTTCTGAGATCAATATTATAATTCGACCTTCTTGCTATTTTTACCGTCAAGTGTAATGATTCTGTGAAAGGTTTGAACCCATTACCTACTTTCGTAATGATTCTGTTAGCTTTTCTTTCTTGTTTCCTTGTTTTTTTCTTCGTTAAGGACCAAATAGCTTCTTTTCAATTAAAGCAAATCATTGTGTTTTTGAACTAATTGTTCGGTGTGTATGTTTATTTCATTGGGTGATTGCGACCGAGTTTGATTATAGAATTCAGTACAACCGGTTCAGAGTTGTCCTGCATGCAGTTGATAGTTTGAACGTTAAACATGAACTATATATGTTGCGATCGAAAAAAATAAAGCAATTCTGTGTCATGCAGACATTTCCAAACGATATTTCTCGATTTGCCACTTGAAAATCGTGTTTTACTTTTTGCGCGAATTAAAGCAAAGATCAAGGAGTAGTGACGTCAGTGGACGGCATTAACGGCCGGTCGATTCAGACGTTTCTGAGGGGGTAATAGCGACTCGAAGTAGTCGGGTGAAATTCAGGGAAAAGCCTTATAAATGTAAAAAGTGTGGAAAGTGTTTTGGCCGAGCAGGAGACCTCAGCAAACATAAAAGAACGCATAACAAAGAGAAGCCTTATCAATGCAAACAATGTGGCAAGTGTTTTAGCGAAGCAGGAAGCCTAAGATGTCATGAAAGAGTCCACACTGGCGAAAAACCTTATGAATGTAAAGAGTGTGGCACGTGTTTCAGAGAATCGAGTTTCCTTAGAAGTCATGAGAAGGTTCACACTTGAGAAAAGCCCTATTGTTGTAAAAAGTGTGGCAAGTATATTAGTCTAGTAGGAACCTTAGAAGACATAAAAGAGTGCATAATGGTGAGAAGCCTTTTCAGTGCAAACAGTGTGGCAAGTGTTTTAGCAATGCAGGAAGCCTAAGGTATCATGAAAGAGTCCACTCTGGAGAAAAACCTTATGAGTGCAAACAGTGTGGCAAGCGTTTCCGAACGTCAAATTACCTTAGGGAGCACGACAAGGTACACACTGGAGAAAAGCCCTATTGTTGTAAAACGTGTGGAACACGTTATCAGCGCAAGCTGTGCACTTGTGTCTTCAGCTGTGCTGGGGACTTTGTGGAACATGGCAAGATCCATAGGAAAACAAGCTGCCTGACAGCACTATCAATCTACGGACACGCCGGATAGCAAGTGGTTCAACAAACTGTGACAGTGAAAATCAACTATCTGTATCTGCTGCAGGGTGCTCTGAATCAAGCCATGTTGAAAAACACAGCTGCTGGATTTGTCAGGAGGAGATGAGCAGTGAGGCACTACTTCTTGAACATTATCAAAATCATAAGAGATAATAAAATATGTTACCGAGGACACTTAAGCCTGTTGGTCTATGTCGTTTAGAATTCAGAATCCATTTGTTGGTTTGTCAGTGGACAATTTGGCATGGTGTGTGATATTTAAGCATTTATTGGCGGTTTACAATGTAACGAAGTATACTGGAAAAAGCCATAAATGACGTCTGATAAACTGTTAGATTTTCCTTCCTTACAGTTTTTTCAAGTTTTGTGAAAGACCAGTAAGCGAATATCCTTCAACACTTGTGGAAAGGGGGACCTTATAATCAAGAATCTTAGCAATTTAAAGGTGATGCATCCAAAACGAGTGAAAATGTTGTTTGACAAAGTCACAAAATTTTGCCGACGTTTGTATGGCGGTGGCCCGACCAAACAAACGTTAATTGTAAAATTCAGTGACTTTGCAAAGCTATATCTCCTTTATTTTTAAAAAATGACTTTTAAACTTGGCAACTTTACCAACTTTTAGGCCTTCTAACCAGCCATGTTGATGGGCTTTTGCTAACCGGACCCAGTATAAAGTTGATAAGACTGTGCAAGGGTCTGTTGGTTAACGTCTCTAGAGATTCAGATGGGACGGGGATTCTGAACGTAAACCTACATCCTCCATCGCGTGTTACGTTCATCAATGTCTCCATCGTTTTGAAAAACTGCTATGCGTTTTCAAATTTTATTATTCTTTCAAACTGCAGCCCTCTAATCACATTTATTTTAAGTTTCCAGGAGCACCCAACGACGGTTTTCAGTAAAATATCTGTTCGGAGAAGCAAATATTGCCTAGAATTTTCTATAAATTGAGGACGGCTAAAAGTTTCTAGGTGACCGTTCCCGATTCATGTACAATTTTCGAAGCTTATCTAATTATTTCCCTACGCTTTTCTGAAGTTTAATTTCTTACATTTCACTTCCCAGGTTAGGCTAATTTTCGTACAGAAAGGAAACCTAAAATTTACGGATTCAAAAATGTAATGGAGAAAGGAATCAGAAAAATTCTCACTTTCGTAGTACGTAAAATTGCATCTAAAATTTTCGGGAAAACAATACTGAAGCCCTTTAATTTCAAAAAGTCTGAAGTCCCCTAGAATGACCGAACAGGTACAAATTTTATAGCGCCGCCTAGAATCATTTCTAGAGATCCAAAAGTACTCTGGACAGCCTAAAAAGTGTTTTCATTGTATTTAGGAGGAAACCATCATTGGGTGCCTCTGAGTTTCCAGCCATAGGCTCGCCTTCGTTACCTTTGTAGAACCGACGTACGACAACTTAAAGCACAGGTACCCCAAGCTCATTAGTGAGAATCGTTGTTGCGCAACAGAAATATTACAAGGTTTTGTATAGGGATTTAAGCGATCGTTATTTAGGGGTCAAAAATAGTAATAAAAATACATCAGAATTTCTTACCTTATCTCCTTGTCTAAATTTATGGCGTTTTCTTGGCATTTTTGGCCGTTTCAGGCCGCGATTCCAGCGAGTTTTAGTTCTGACGTTGTTCGTTATATATATGATACTAGGGGTACCTTCCGGCAAGTGCCAACGAGGCGACTTCGTTTATCTTTTGTGAAATGTGCCTATTCAGATCTTCCCGATATATATATTTTTTCATAATTTTAGAGGTTTACAATGGATTCCGCTATAGAAAAGGATGGCACCAAACTTCAAAACAACAACTTTGGCACATTCTAGGCTGTCACTTTTATTAGACAATAACAACATATAGCTTGAAGCTTTGTTGGTGAATATGAGCAAGTTAGCACTTGTGTTTTATGGAAAATTCCATTGTATCAAAACTATAAACGTTAGAAAGAAAAATATAGTTCAAATGAGGCCTTTGACTGCTGAAATTAGAAATAATAATTAAATTCCGAGCAACAGCGTTATCAGGGATAAGAAAAATATCTCGCGTGGTAATATTCATAAGAAAAAGTTGGCGTAAAGCAAAATATGTGAAAAGCGTAAGAATGGGGCGGAATGTATCTGAGGTATAAAAATATAAACTTAAAAAAAATACAAAGATCTAATGAGCGAGCGTCACAGGTCAAAGATTCTCTTGAAAGGCATAATGATAGTCTTCAAAACAAAAGGTTCGCAAATTCGTTGCATTCCTCATGGGAGTTTTAGGCTGTCTCAATGTAAATCAAAAAACATGCTGGTTGACAAAATCTAAAGACATGAATAAATTCTAAAAAAGGTCCGCAAATACGTTGAGGACTGGCTCAATGTAAATCGATCTGCGAAGAACACGCTGGATCTGATTGAGTTTTGAGAATATAACCCTATACCTTGATCAACTACCGCTTAAAATTCAATTCACAAAGCAAAAGACAACATGGAAAACTCTGGTTCTGAGTCGAGAAGCGAACGCGCTACCTCATTGTAAATCGAGCTGCAAAGAATAAGCTGGTTCTGACAAAAATTTGAGCGTAAAACCCTATTCCTTGATCAGCTGCTCCTTTAAACACAATTTATAAAGCAAACCAGAGCACTAATTGCCCTTTCAAACTAGAAATCGTAGTAGAGCTTGCTCACCTGTTAGGTCCTCTTGAACAGACAACGAACAGCTGCCCAAATATGGTCAAAAATGCAAATTGTAGAGGGTTAAGCAGAATTTGAGAGTTTTTGCCTACATCGTGCGGGATTATAAATCTACCGCCGAGGCAACCTCGCTTCTTAGCTCGGTTGCCTCGTTGGCAATAAAGGGTGTTTCAAAAGTTCGTTCCGATTTTTTCTTCGCTTAAATTTCACTGATCATTAAAAATACATTGAATATCTGATATGTCTTCCTTTATGTTTTCTGACATTTTCTAAGTGGTGAGGAATAGAATGTACCAGCTCCCAAAGTGTGTCTAAGAAACATTTTTCCAGGCGAAGCGTAGTCACTCTCTAAGCTCGTCCAGTGTTTTGGGGGCTGGATCTTTGTATGTTGTCTTGTCAGCGATAATCCAGAACGTCTCTAGAGGGTTCACATCACGTGAGTTTGCCAGCCCGTCGCCTTTTGCTATAAAGTTTGCAAATCCTTCTGGTACGCATGTGCGCCGCCTTTTTCTTTTAAAGGCTTCCCAACCTTTGTTGGTCATATCTCTTCATACTGTTGTGCTCGAAACTTTTATATTGTAAAGTTGAATTTTTTAACCTTTCTGTCTTGCAGAATTATTACGCATATACTTACAGCTTTTTCGATAACATTTCTCACGCATTTAAAAAACAACGGCCATCCACTCCTTGGTTTGTCTTCTAAAGTCTTTAGTTTTGACCACTTGTTCACTTAAATCGTTCAGACTTCTTCAACAGTTTACCAATTTCTTTGATTGAATCGCCAGAAGACCGTAAAAACCGATGCCTGAGCTCTATAGCACAAACAGTGTAGGCCTTCGTTTTCGTGAAGCAGTAAAGAAAATAAAAGAAAGGGGCAAAAAAAACGAATTAAAAAAACCTACAAAATGGGCAGGTAAAATGTGGCGGGAAAAAAACTCGCGTACGTGCGAATCTGTGGCAAAACTTCAAAAATATTATAATTTCTTAAAATTTTAGTTTGAAATTGCTTTGAAAGGTTGTTTAGATAAATTTCTTACATGAATCGGTGTACATTTGCCTAAAGAAGCATTAAATGCTTTGCGCAAAATACAATATAACATCGGAACGGACTTTTGAAACACCCAGTATATCTAGCCGGATACATGAAAACCGCAGCAGCTGGCTCCTCGAGGCCATACACCTTAAACTGACACAACTAAAGTAAATATCAGGCCCCCCTCCTCTGGTAAATATTGGCAAGAAACTCAGCTCTTACCCATGGTTCTCTTAAGGTGACTCTCCTCTTGGTTCCTGATTAGCAAAGAAACATTCAAAGTCCATCAAAAAGACACTCTGGACTTGGCTATACACTCTAGCTGCGTGAAGGCCCTACATGGCAGAGGATGTTTGAGACTTAAGCAAGTTCTAGACACTGAGAATTTAAGGCCACATCACCCCCCCCCCCCTTTCTGCCCCATCCCAGCCTTGCACGTGCTTGAAGGGAATGCTTTCATTGGCCAATGGTTCTCAAACATTAAAAGAATTTGACCTGACAGACTTAAGGCAAACATGACCAGTGCACTGACTCTGCCAGAGCAAGACTAGCGGACAGTACCACGCTTTTGCAGCACCCTCCCCCCTAGGGATTGACATGGAAGCCCCTACCAAACCCATGGCGAGTTAGCTCAGGGACTGAGCTTCATAATAGTGAGCTTACGCAACAGGACGGCAGGAAGAAGAAGACGGCAGAACGCTCGTGTGTGACAAACGTGACAAGGCTGTTTCTCACGTGTTTTGTCGCGATCTTCACTTAACACCAATGTTTTCTGGTCTTTTACTAAAAGATCTGTTTAAAGGAAAGTGAAGTTTGGCGAAAAGTTATTTCAAACAAAATTATTGTCACGCTGGTCACACAAGGTTTGCCGTCTTCTTCCCTCTCCCGTCCTGTTGCGTAAGTTCACTAATGAGACTAACCAGGACAGCAAGCCCCCTATGTTTTTTCTCACCGCAGTGACCAGATACCCAGCTATGGCCAGGTTCCTGTGCGATAGCCGGTAGGATCGATAGTTTTTTAGTTTGAATTTTTAGTGACGTAATATGAAAACTAACAATAGTATACGTGAACCTTAAACTCTGTTATCGACTCATATATACTGGTAATAACTTGCCTGGTCCTTA